CTGATATTTGACTATTTATATTTAAATTAGATAATCTAGTACAATGATTAGAAATCCACAGTGAGTAAGAAGAAAGTGGTAGAGCTCAGATTCTGGATGCATTCACTGATATGTTAGAGAATCCCTAAAATTCAGTGATGTCTACAATTCTCTGAGACAGTACTCCAGCAGATATATGCACACCCATGTTTATTGTGGCTTTGTTTACAATAGAAAAGAGCTGGAAACAACGCAAGTGCCCATCAACAAATGAATGGATAGAGAAGCTATGGTATAGTAACATAATGGAATATTATGCAGCACTGAAAATCAAAGAACTAATAAAATATTATACAAAATGGGTGACCATGGAGGACATTATGCTGAGTGAAATATCTCAGTCACAAAAAGACAAATACTGCATAATGCCACTGTTACAGAGCAGGACTGATATGGGAGTTGGGGGTTATATATACAAGAATTATTCCCTTTCTTTAAAAAATCATCTGCGAGGTTCTATCACTCAGCCATGGCCAAAAAAAAATCAAGGCTCCGGACCTTCGTGGAAAGAAGGAGGAGCTGTTAAAACAGCTGGACGATCTGAAGGTAGAGCTTTCCCAGCTGCGTGTCGCCAAAGTGACAGGTGGTGCGGCTTCTAAGCTCTCCAAAATCCGAGTTGTCCGAAAATCCATTGCCCGTGTTCTCACTGTTATTAACCAGACTCAGAAGGAGAACCTCAGAAAATACTATAAGGGCAAGAAGTACAAACCCCTGGATCTGCGGCCCAAGAAAACACGTGCCATGCGCCAAAGGCTCAACAAGCATGAGGAGAACCTGAAGACCAAGAAGCAGCAGCGAAAAGAGCGCCTTAGCGCCTGTACCCACTGTGGAAATATGCAGTCAAGGCCTGAACTTAAATAAATAAAACACAAAACTAAAAAAAAATCATCTGCAAGGGGAAACTAAGAAAAGAGGGGATAAATAATGTACACAGCATTTAAACAGATGAGGAAGAGAACTATATAAAAGGAATATATGATTAGGTACTATTGACGTGACAAGAGTCCAGAATAAGAGTTGCATAGTAAAGTGGTCTGGAGGGGGGACGACAACTGTATAACAATGAAAGAACTTTTTTCCAAAGAAAAAAGCAAACTAGGGGTGGGGGGAGCAGGGCAGGGAGGAAAATGTGCAACAATGAATGAATGGAAATCCAAGTTCTTTATAAACTTTCATTAAAATCTAAAAAAAAGAACTGTCACAAGATATTTTTTCCACATTTCAAAAAAACACACAGTTCATTCACCTAACACTAATAAGCAACTGTCCATGCTTCTTAAAGTTCTCTAATGTTAAAGAGTGAGGAGGAAGGTAGAAACGAACAGATTCTCAAGGGCTGCCTTATGACAAAAACAGCTAACAGATATAATTGAAATACACTTATAACTTAATGAATAGCTAATGAATTAATGATTAATGAATGAAGAGATTGAGTGTTAATAGCTTTAGTTTGATAGATAGTAATAACAGTAATAATTAATGAAGATATTAAAATTGTTAAGTTTTTTTATGATGATGATGATGATAATAATAATAAATAAAGAGATTGAGATTGTTAACAGCTTTGGTTTGCTTGGCTCTCAAACAATACTCTTGGGAACAGCAGCCAGGAAATTAAAAGATGAATTGCACTGGGAAAGTCTGCTGTCAAAGACCTCTCCAAAGTACTGAAGAGCAACAATATCAGTCTGGAGACTAAGGTGCACCTGAAACAGGCCATAGTCTTTGCAATTACTTGCTATACATCAGAAAGCTGGACAATGACTAGGGATTATAGAAGGAGAATTGATGTCTTTGAGCTGTGGTTCTTGATAAGAGTATTGAATATATCATGGATTGCTAGAAGAACAAACAAATTCGTCCTGGAGAGCATGAGACCAGGCTGCTCCTTGGAGGCAAGGATTCTGAAGCTTAGTCTGACATATTTTGGACATGTTGAAAGGAGGAACATCATCCTTGGGAAGAAGGAAAGATGGCACAGGAGAGAAGACCCCTGATGACATAGACTGATTCAGTGACTGGGGTAATGGGGGTAGGTGTGTCAGAGACAATAAGATTGGCACAGGATAGAGTGGGATTTAGGGCTGTCGTTCATAGGGTCGCTATGAGTTGCAGGTGACTTGACAGCACACAATAACAACAATGAATAACTAAAACAAATAAACAAGAATTTAATATTTATAAAAGGTCAGAACTCTGATAAAAGAATGAATTACTGTATTTGATTGTGTATATTTTTACATATATAATTATAGGAGCACAAACCTTGGCTATAGGTAGCTTTCAACAAATTTTGCCTCTTTTTCAAATTCTGAACTTGGATATTAATAGGTACGTAAATTTCCGAATCTAATTTTTCTTTCATCTCCTTACAATTTCTTAGTGCTTTCATCTCCATTATTAGTTTATTCTTCACCTTATAAAGCAAACATTTTGCCTTATCAATGTTGTAAATGTAACTTTTTTAAAAAAATCTACACATTTTTAGAATTTCTGCTCCAAGCTTGACTGTTTTTATGAGGGAATGGAGGTGGAGCTCTAGCGGCCTAGTGGCAAGAAGCTGTGCCACAATCCCCAAGGCATGGTTTGAATCTACCAGATGCTCTGCTGGAGAAGGAGGGGCAATCTCCTCCTGTGCCAGTCGGATCCAACTCAATGGTACACAACAACAACAACAACTAAAAGAATGGGAGCCTTTAAAGATGTTTTAGGTAATAAACATGAATTATTCTGATTCCAATTAAGATAGGATAGGGTAAAATTTTCTATGAACTAAATCAGCTGTGAAAAAGTTATGATTCCTTATACTAAATAAATGCCAGATTAAAAGAACTTAAGAACACATAGAAATATTTTTAAGTAACTTTTGTCAGTACTAATTTAACAACCATCTTTGATGTTAATAGTCTTAGTATTGAAGTAGAAACTATACGTCAGACCCCAAACATGGCCCATTAATCCTCATTCTTGTCAGTGTGGGCATCTGTCAAATAAGATTAAGTTGCAAATGTCTATAAAATAAGCAAGTCAATAGAAAATTTTTAGAAACCAAGAAATATTACCAATACCTTTTCGGGGTAAATCTGTCTTCTCTCTGCTTTGGTTAAATTGTGAGTTGCTGTTCACTTCCTTATTCATATTGTCAGTAGAGTGAAAATCCACGTTGTGTATGGTCTCACTCTCTGGAAGGTCCTGTCTTCTTATATCAATCTCAGATGTTTCTATTACTTGCGAATGAGTAAGTGTGGATAAAGCCCCACTTGAATAGCTTACTTTTTTACGTTTTTCAGCAGCTATCCTTTTATTGTCTTGTTTTTCATTCACCTTTTCCACAATACGTGTATTAGCCTGATTCACTGAAGGCACTGGTCCTCCGGGGCTATCATCCTGAGGCCTTCTGAAGGGTTCAATGGAAGTAGTCAACTCTGAAGCTTCATGTGTTGAGCATGTTCTTATACAAGCCAGAAAAGTTTGTTCAGGAATGTTAGGCGAATGATCAAAATAAGTTCCATATATAGGGTGTTCATAATTTTCAACATGTTCTTCAGAAATGAGTGTATTATCTGAATCAGGAAAAGTAACAGCTTCTTGTTGTGGAAATCTGGTTAGGCTACCTGCCTTTAATTCATTTTCCTTTGAAAATTGGTACTCAGAAGAGTGTTGAAAACTGAGTTCTTCTTTATTTGTTATATTCTCCTCACAGTTAGATTGGGTTTTGCAATTTGTAGAAGTCATCACTTCTTTAGATGCCAGAGTCTTCTCAGAAGTACAGCAATCATCACCACCACCATCATCAATATTTCCCTTTATAAAGGATGCAGAATTTTTCCACTTATTAAGTTTCTCATCATTTTTACTTGAGTTACTATTTTCATAAAACTTACAATGACTATTGTGTTGGTTTTCTTCAGTGTGAGGGGGCTCAAGAGGTAACATGATTTCGTTCTGTAAACAAAGTCCTGAAAAAGAAACTTCACTTTGGTCAATGGGCTCAAACTCCAAGAACTGTAATTCTTGTCTGTCTGATAAATTTAATCTCTGAGTGTGTGTTTCTTTGGAAGTTGAGCAAGCCTTGTTAGTGTTAATGAAGTCATTTGTCAAACTTGAAAGAGTTGGGCTCAAAGGTTTATATGACTCTTCTGAAGGGCTATCAAGTGTTTGGAGAATATGCTGCTGATGTGAAACCAATTTGTTTCTTCTTCTGGAAGAAATAACATTGACTGTTTTTCTTTGACTGTAATCTCTATCATCCATTTGAGTGTTTTTATCTTGTAAGTTTCTTCTTCCTTTGTAATTTGACATACTCGTGCTAAGATTTTCAACATTTTTGAGATTGCCCTCTCTGAATCGTTTAGTATGCATTTGGTCAAGAGTTGATTGCTTTTGCTTAAATTTACCAAATTTTGTGGTTTTGGAATCTTTTTGGTAATACTCATATATTTCTTCTTTATTTATAAATAAACCCTCTTTGCTTCCTTCATCAGCTTTAACATATTCTCCCTTCTGATTGTCGGAATTTTCATCAACACAGCAAACGCAATTTTGAGAACATAATTTTGTTTTCTATAGAAACAAAACACACAGTTAGTTCTAATTTTCAGATGAAATTCTATACTCAATTCCATGTGAACTACTGATAAATCTAACACTAATACTAGTATTAGCATCCTAGTACTTATTTTGTACTGTTTATTTCATTTCCTTTTTTTTTCTCAATATATCAGTATTTTAGCATTATTTGTCTTACTAAGGTCTGGTGGCTTAGTGGAGAAAGTGGTCCTGCCAACTGCCCAGGCAGGTAGTTCGAATCCACCAGCTCTGCAGGAGAATGATGGACAGTATCTTCCCATGAGAATAACAGCCTCTCAAAACCCAAGGGAAAGTCAGCTATGAGTTGGTTCTGACTCAAAACATAACAACAGTCAATATACTTAATTTTATAGGCTTCTTAACATTATTAAAAGATCAAAGTTTCCTTGTAAAGAAAACTTTACATGGTGCTTTATAAATACCCTCCTCTCTCATTCACTATATTCGTGGAGCTAGGTATAGAAGGGTTTATTCTTCCTGTATTTTTGAGAGACTTTATAATAGGGCAAGAAAGGATTTAGAAACAAGAAAATAGATATGCTCCCAAATTGGTCTGTACAGAAAGTTTTTTGTGAGCTGATAAAACTAAATAATGCTTCTTTTTATGCATCAGAGTCCAAGCACTAAATGAAGACTATCTGACTATTATATAAACTTAAAGGGATGGAATGACACTTTCTGATTTTGTACTGTGCTTATGCCAAAAGAAATTTGACATAACTAATAAACCTCATGAATCCATGAAGAGGAGAAGAAGAAATTGGCTTTCAATTTAGCAGTGTGCCCAGATAAGGTACATTTACTCAGTTGCTTCACAAACTAGCAGTCCATAACATTCTGATTCTCAAGTTATTATGCCAAAGTATCTTAAAAGCAAAAGTACAGTAACTGTACCTCAATAGTGATTCAACCATCTTTCTTTCTCTCTAATAATACATAAAGTATCCAGAAGAGTATCCTATAACTAAACATAAAGATACTAAACATAAAGATACCTTCTGGGGGTGCCCCTCCTCTACATCCAATGGGTCTGTGCTATTCCTTTGAGCTATAAAAAAAAAATAAAAAATAAGACACTCCATTGGTCATTTGGTCATACCAGATTTCTAAAACCCATACGATCTTTGTGATGAAAAAACACATTGAATAAACAAAGTTAAATGAACATTTTATGTTTAAATTGATACATTGAGCATTCCTATAATTTATATCCATATTTATAAGAATCTAGAAACAATTTGGAAAGAGATGAAAACAAATAAGAAAAGTTAAATAGATTCTACAAATGATAATCAATATTAAAAGTGGGCTCTGAACCGAGTCTCTTATTTTCCCACAGCACATGCGTGTGCACACACACACACACACACACACACACACATATATTCAGTAGATCATGCAGGTGTGTGCAGGCAACTTTATTAAGGGGAAAACCTTTCATGATGATTGGATTAATCATTTTCTAATATATCTGGTTAAATGATTGGCTGCTAATCAAAAGGTTGGCAATTTAAACTCACCATCAAATATGCTTCCATATATATCATGAACCTGAAAACCCAATGGCATGGCTCTGCCCTTTCCTGCAGGATTGTTCTAAGTAGGAACTGATTAAATGCTAACGGGTGGTAGAATATGTCTGCTTAAAAAAGTATTGTATTCTCTTAAAAACAAAGTACACACGCATGGAAAGGCCAATTGTTTTATTTTAAAGCACACTTTATTTCTTTTTTTTTCCTATATTGATTTTTATTTATAAACAAATTGACATAAAATAAGTCCAGATGGTAGCAGGGCAGCCTGCTGCTGATTTGCTTACAAAGGAAGCAAATGGACAGCGGAGGGGGTGGAACCAGATTCCAGCCTGGAGAACCCTCTTTTCCTCCCATCCATGTTAGCGCTTTCTTGACCTAAAATCATTAGGCCCGATCTTCTTCAGCAGCAATTATGGCCATGGCAAGGAGCCGAGGTGGAGGGCAGGCGGTCTGCGGACGGGGCAGGGCAGGAGCTTCCATTCTTGCTGCAAAGAGCCCAGTGGAAGAAGGGTGGGGAGGTGACAGTGACTCTTCTCCCCATGCTGAGTGATATGGTCAAGGCTCTAGGGTCTGTCCACTCCTAAGAGCAGTAAATTAGGAGAGTGTTCTCTGAAAAGCAGCCGGCTAATCTGGAGAGGTTCTCTCTGATTCAGAGCAACCATTCTCCCTCCTCCTGAAGCCCAGGCTCCAAAGCAAGAGGTGAATGAACTATGGGGCTGCTCAAGTGCCAGAAACAATAAATTAACAGTAAGAAAAGATTTTTTTTAAAAAGGTAGAGGTCTGCACCATCAGTTTAGAGTCTGGGGAGCTGGAGGGGAGAAAATAGGAGCAATGGGGCCATGGGATACCACACAAGGCCTAGGAAGTGGTGAGGGGACTGGGCACCACTGCCAATTCAAGATCTGGCTTCCAAGGTCTCAGGGTTGGCTCCTTCCTCCATCACTTGGCAAGGGGTACAGTCTAGACTTTTGGTGGGAGCCTGGCCACACTTGAGAAGTAAATATAGGGACCTCAGAGCTGAGGCAGGGCTGAGGGGAATAACAGCATCTGCCCTGGGCCCCACATTCTCCCTTCAGTCCTTCATGGAAGGACACATCACGGCAGAGCAGGGTAGTGGTAGCTCCGCACTGCTTTTCGGAGTCCGGAGGAAGCCTGGACTCCCACTGAGGCGCCTGGAGAGGCTGACTTGCCTGTCTTCACGGGGCTTGACCACTCGGTTGTCTAGATGCACCTCTCTCTTCAGAACTTGCCTTGTTTCAGTCGATCAATGTGGTAGGAGAGCTTGAGTGCAGGCCCCAGCTTCAGCCCCATGTACTTCATGATCATGTCACTGCGCAGCAGAAACAAGGCCTTGCCATCTATCTCATGTTTACAGAAGAGGTCAGCATGGGGTCTGAGCTGAGGATCTGCTTCCCAAACGAACTGAATCACATCCTCCACCGTCCATGAGGAGGGGTCCCGGCCACTCAGTCGAGAGCCATCCCGGCTTTCCAGGTATCTGTCTGACCCCCTGGAACATAGCCTGCACACAGCTGAGGCAGTGCTCTGTGGGAGGCCACAGGACGGAAGCAGGGGCCGGTACCCGGGGGTTCGAAGATTTTGGGAGGTGCTGACAACACGGTTGTTGGAATTCAAGGTAGAGTCCATTGAATCTGAGTGTGTCTCCAGGGACCGGGACAGAATAAAGGTTTCACCTGGTAGGTACCTGTCGTGGCTGTGGCTGTACTCTGTGGCAGTGAGTGACAAGTGAGTCTGTGTAAAGGGCTGGTTACCAAACAGATTGTCACTACGAAGGTTGTGGCAGAGTTTCTCCAGGAAGCGGAGGACGTAGGTGATGCTGTTGACTGCTGGGAGGTTGAGAGTGTGCTGTTCCCGGTCAAACATGGCTGAGATAACCTCACCACCGTGGCCCTGTTTGAGGAAGCTGAAGACAGTTTTCTGATGATAAGCACAGTCAATGCAGGCCTAGACAGCCTGCTGCAACACCACAGAAGCGTGGGCTGGCCCAAAGTGGTCAGGGAGCTGCTGGACCTTCTTCTTCTCTAGTTGGGGGCCTGTGCTGCCATTCTTGTTCAAGTAAATACAAACTGTGGGGGCCTGCATGGCTGAGCTGGGAATAGTGGCAGCATCTTGGGGCACAGTGCTGGTATCCGGTTCAGGGGTGCTGGTTGTTGGTGAGGTGGGTGGTGGGTTCAGCAAAGTCCAAGGTTTTCTCTTACTGCCAGGTTTAGGACCTCTCTTCTTTGGGAATTTCAAAGGTTCAGCTGACTTAGGTGGGGTGGTAGAGATGGGATGGGGAATTAGGGTCTTGGGTGTCCGGCCTTGCTTCTTTCCTGGTTTACGCCCCTTCTGCCCTGGTTGGTGTTCGAAGATAGTTTTGGTGTTGCTGTGGGTGCTGGGCTTCTCAGTGTTCACATCAGATGCAGGATAGGGGTTCTTTGGAATCACAACTTTCGTGCCAGGCGGCTGCAGGTTGTCTCCAGTCAAGGAACACCAGCCCACAGGGAAGATGTCCCGGGAATCAAAGCGGCACCAGTAGAAGGCCCCTCGCCACCCATCAAAAGTGACAAGCACCTCTGAGCCCCGCACCTCCCCAATGGTGGCTGGGCAGATGAAATGAGGGTTCTTCCTGTCCACTGCTTCTAGCTTCATTCCCATTTTGAAGAAGTTGTGAGAAGGAGATGGTGGTTCCTTGTGGAATATCCTGATAGGTGCCATCTCTGCTCCATTTAACGTCTTCAAAAGGAACATGGGCCAAGAGGAAGCATTTAGTCTAAATCCCAGAGGTGGCTGCAGCATACCCCCATTCTTCTCACAGTTTCCAATAGGCTGAATTTCAGCTGAGTCAACCAGGTGCCAGAAGTCATTCTTGTTGTCACTTCCATCAAGGCGCAGGCGAAGACGAGCACCTGTCAGTCCAACTACGGTGGCAATACAGGTGGATGTGGTGTTCCTGGGGTCCTGAGCTTCCAATTTCATGCTGATCTTGAATTCATTGCTTGGAGGTGTGTAGGACTGCTTGAAACAATGGACAGGTGCTGGGACTGAACATGTTTCTTTTAGGTATTTGTCCCAGGTAAAATGACCTAGTTCCAGGAAGTCGGCAGCTTCTTGATATTGGGATGTAGACTCTGATAGGTGGCCATATTTGTGTTTTCTAACATCATTCCAATCTATTACACTAGGCTGCATAGTCGATGAACTAAAACTGGTCAAGAAGCTAAGAGGCTTGGATTTATCCCTGGATCCACCAATACCTTGCTCTCAAATCCAGCAAGTTATCGCCTCTGCATGTTAATGTCTCCATCTTTTTGAGGCTCTGATGCTTGTATAACATCAGCTATGTCAAGTAGGACACCATTCCTCTTTAGCAAGATGGAGAAATCTGCGGGCGCGGCGGCGGCGACAGGGGCGCTGAGAGGCTCACTCCCTTTCCGCCGCCATGTTTCCGCTGCGCAGGGAGGGAGGACGTGAGCTGAGGGAAGGCGGGGGCGGCTCTGGAGAGCCGCCGGCGGGTGGCGGGGGGCTCCACACTTTATTTCTTAAAAACATTTTTAATATTGGCAAAGAATACTGAATAGTCTGTGGACTGCAAAAAAAAAAAACCAAAACTAAACTGTCTGAGCAGTTGTGCAGCTAGAATGTTCCACATTAGAGAGGATGGTGAAACTGCAAGGAGTGTAATGGCTTTAAAATCATGTCCACAAATTCTTTGATATTCTTTCTCTCAATAGAAGGAACCTAATTCTACTCCCTTAATTATGAACTAGACTTAATAATGTACCTCTAATTAAGAGTATATATGAGCCAGATGGTATATTCCTTCCAAATTTAGGTTATAAAAATATAATAGCTGTATGCTCATTTTCTCTTTCACATGGATCACTTGCTCTGAGCCATACTGTCTGTCAGCTTTCACCCTGCGGAAAGTAACTGAAGCCACCATCCAATAATCTGTAAAGAACTAATGTGAGTCTGAAAACAGATTTTCCAGCCTTAGTCCAGTCACGAGATGAATGAAGCACTTGCCAGTAGCTTTACTGCAATTTTGTGAAAAATTCTGATTCAGAATCACCCAACTAAATTGCTCTTAGAATCCTGACTCTCAAAAACTGTGTGGCAGATAACAAATATCATTATTCTAAGTAACTAAGATTTGAGATAACTAAATAGGGAAGGGGGTGAAGGGAGCAATATGAAGTAGTAAACAGGGAAGTCTAGGCCACATCTGAAAGGATATATTTGAGCTAAGACTTAAAAGGAAATGTAGAAAACATATCTGAGAAGCATAAAAGAGGTCAGAGTGTTATAATTGAGTAATGGAGAAAGAGAGTGGCAAGAAGAGAGGTTAACTGATGGAAAGGTGAACTGATGCAGAGATTTGTAAAGATCATTATGAAGGCCATCTGTAAAGTTTTGCAAAGACCATTGTGAAGATGTTGGCTTTGTTCCTAGATGAAATGGAGAGCAAGCCACTTGAACAGAAAAGTGTTACGATTTTACAGAAGAAAAAAAAAACAAAAGCCCTAACAGATGTATTAGAGGAGTATGAGGGGGGGGGGAATCCATGTATTTAAACCATTTTTATACAATATATTAACTGACTGTATCAAACAATTGTCCACAGTCCATTTATTGACCAGGGGAGCTCTGGTGGGTTAGTGAGTTGCAATGCTAACTGAAAAGCCATGCCTCTCTGGCAGATCAAATCTACCTCATGGGAGAGATGTGCACACTCTCCTCCTCTGCTATTTACACATTGAAGATCTGTAGTCAGCTATCAGATGGTTCGACCTTGATGGCAAGAGTACTGACATCAAGTTTTTCTCTAGTTCAATTCAGTGGTGTAATGTGGACAGGAAGTCTAAGGTACTGCCACAAAAAAAAAAAAAAGATTCCTATGGGGTGGAAAGAACTAATTCTGGCCATATTCACTGAAAAGAGTAAAGAAGAAATACATATTATACAATATTATATTATTTTGTCAAAACAGTATGGGTGATGGTGTTGACGAAACTCAGAACTTTATAAAATTTCTTTAAATACTTAAAATGTAAAACCCGGAGCAAGGTACATAAAATACAGTTATCATTACTGTATATTTTTTTAGATTCCTTCCATTATGTGCATTTACAAATGAGTCCGTGTATTCTATTAAAGCCACTGAATGAAGATACCACTAAATAGAGTTCACTCAAAACTTAGGAGAATGTATATGAACTTGTACGTAAACTAGTATAAAATATTAAAAAAATAAATTTTAAAGAAAAAGACAACTCGTGACTGAAAATGAGATTTTAAAAAACTTAGGAGAAAAAGAAATTGCTATAATTCTAAGTTCAGTTAACAGTGTGACAGATAAAACAAGGCAGTTTAATTTTACCATATTTAAGGCGCCTTTGATGTTTAGGAAGGTATCTCTCAAGGAGATGTTGCATATGTGAATCCTTGGCTTCATCCAAAGCACTCTTTCCACTCTCACTTCTAAATAATGGATCTGCACCATTCAGGAGAAGTAACTCTGCCACCTAGAGGAAGAGTAGCCATGCTAAAGCACTCAAGTAAAAAAAGATAACAGTGAATTTGCATACAATTCTTGTTATTGTTGCTGTATGCTGTAGAATTGCTTGTGACTCATAGCAACCGTATGTGCAGTAGCCTTGAAACATGCTCTATATTGTGGCAACTCTAGTGTCTCTGACACACCTACCTCCATGACCTCAGTCACTGTATCAATCCATTTCCTTGATAGTCTCCCTCCATCCATCCACCCATCCAAACATGATGACCCTCACCAAGGACTGGTCCCTCCTTGTAGCATGGCCAAAATATGTCAGATGAAGCACCTGAACCCTTGCCTCCAAGGAGGAGACTGCTTCACCTTCTCTAGGATGAACTTGTTTGTTCTCCTGTCAGTCCATGGTATATTCAACACTCTTCTTCAGCACCACAGTTCAAAGACATTAATTCTCTTCCTGTCATCGCTAACCATTGTCCAACTATCTGATGCACAGGAAGCAATTGCGAAGCCTGGGTCAGGCAAACCTTGGTCTCCAGACTGACGACACTGTTGCTCTTCAGTACTCTGGAGAGGTCCCAGACAGCCAACTTTCCCAATTCAATTCATTTCTTGATTTCCTGGCTGCTGGTACCAAGAGTGCTGATTGTGAAGCCAAACAAACTAATGCTGTTAACAATTTCAATCTCTTCTGAATCCATCATGATGCTTCCAATTGGCCCAATGGTAAGAATCTTTGTTTTCTTGATGTTGGGATTCAATCCATATTGAAGGCTGCAGTTTTTGATCTTCTGCAGGAAAAGCTTCAGGTCCTCCTCAGTTTCAGGAAGCAGGGTTGTGTCATCTGCATTAACACAGGGTGTTGATGAATCTTCCTCCAATCCTGATGCTACATTCCTCCTCATATAGCCTAGAGTGCCAGATGATCTGTTCTGCATATAGACTGAAAAGGTATGGAGACAGACTACATCCCTGGCGTACCCTTCCCAATTTTGAACCATGCAGTGTCTGTTCTGATGACTGCCTCCTGGTCCAAGTATAGGTTTTGCATAAGCACAATCAAATGTTCTGGGATTCCCATTCTTCTCAAAGCCAGCCACAGTTTGTTGTGATCACACAGTCAAACACCTTTGCATAATCAATGAAACACAGATAAACATTCTTCTGGTACTCCCTGCTTTCAGCCAAGATCCATCTAACACTAGCTATAATATCTCCTCTAAATCCAGCCTGCACATCTGTCAGTTCTCTGCTGACGTGCTGCTCCAGTCATTTTTGTATAATTTTCAGCAGAATCTTGCTTGCATGTGCTATTAATGATATTGTTCGGTAATTTCCACACTCTGTTGGGTCACCTTTCTTTGTAATGGGAACAAATACAGATCTCCTCTAGTCAGTTGGCCAGGTGGTTGTCTTCCAGATTTCTTGGCACAACTTAGTGAGCGCATCCAGGGTAGCATCTGTTCACTGAAATATGTCAATTGGTAAGCCATCAATTCCTGCAACCTTGTTTTTTGTCAATTCTTTCAGAGCATCTTGAACTTCTTCCTTCATCACCACAGATTCTTGCTCATACGTTGTTTCATGAAATTCTTCTGTGTCAGTCAATTGCTTCTGGCATAGTAACTCTGTATTCTCCTTCCATCTTCTTTTAATACTTCTTGGATCATTTAATGTTCTGTGCAAAGTATTGCAACTCATGGCTTGAGTTTGTTTTTCAAATTCCTTCAGCTTACATACTTTTGGTATATTGTTAAGAAGTGCCAGTTCTTAGATGGGGATATCATTCTGGAAAAGGTGGAGGGTCAGAGGAAGAAAGGAAGATCCTCAATAAGATGAACTGACACAGTGACTACAGCAATGGCCTTGAGCATACCAGAGATCACAAGAATACACAGGATAGAGCAAGGTTCAGATCTGTTTTTCATTGCATTGCGATGAGTTGTAGTTGACTTGATGGCACCTAACTACAATTACAACATCAAATCTCTGTACCAAACTGTTTATGTGTTGCTATTGATTCGTAATTTGCAGATTTACAAATGCCTTTTTATAAAAGTGAGAGATATGGAAAGAGAAGGAAAAGAACAGAAAGCATATCTTTAAGGGTGAGTATTCTATTTTTCTTTCAAAGATAATTTCTTATTTTTAATAGGAAATTAACAAATATGATTCAAAACAAAACAGGCTCCAAAAAATATTTGGGGGAAAAGAAACAACATACCACACACAAAATTTTTCCTTCTTTTTGTCCTCCAGCTTTTGAATTGACTTTTTTCTGAGCCACCTTTGGATACAGTTTCTTCTGAAATTTTCCAGTTAGTCTACTTCAACATGAATGTAAATGTATACATATGCACATTTTTTTAAACAACTAGCCGTCCATATATACTATATACAGTGGCAAAGGGCCCTAGAGATTGTTCTATATCTGTGTAGACCAAACTTTCTCATTCTACATAAATAATGTAGCCTATTATATGAATGTACTAAAACTTAGTTAATGATTATTTTTTATAGATGTTTAAGATCCTTATAAGCTTTAGTATAGATTTTTATTTTCTTTTATATTCTTAGTGCTTGTTGCAGTATCTGGTATAAAATGAAGTTAAAGAAATGTTGTTTAATAAAAGAAGGTAGGTCAAAGAAGACAGAAGTCTTAAAGGAATATTATAAACACAGGAAATCTGAGTATCTGTAAATTGCAATATCTGAAAATAAAACACATGTGCCTATTTTCTTTTCTAAAAAAAGCATTTTGGCCTACTGAAATAGTTTGATGCTTTTTTCTCGTTTTCAATATTAACATTGATATTAATTTTCCAAGTTTTGTGTCATTCACAAATATTATAGGTATACTTTTCTCATCACCTTCCTATAATAGTAAAAGTATAATAATAAAAGCAATACATTACTAAAGTCTTTCAAGAAGTTACAGCATACTTATCTTTTTACAGTAATAAAGTAAGAAGTCTCAGGTATATCTTTTGAGATTACCTTTTATCATTTCTGTATTCTAGATTGTGTGGAACTGTGTGTGTGGGGGGGGTAGGGAGAAAAATAGAGACTGTTTCTTTTCCATATCAATGTCAATGCTTAAATATAAGCAATATTCACATGTCACAAAAATTGTAAGATAATAAAAACATGTTGTTGTTGTTGTTGTTGTGCACTGTAGAGTTGGAACCGACCCATAGCTCTCCCTCCAGCAGGTTTTCAGAAGCAGTTAATCGCACAGGAGGAGAATGCCCAAGTTTCCCCTGTGGAGCAGCGGGTGGCCTCGCACCATGTACCTTCGGGATTGCAGCGTGGTTTCTTGCCACTAGGCCACCAGAGCTCCCTAATAAAAACATACTAAATGGAAAGTTAAGTTTCTCTCAGACTTATTGTGGTAAATTGAAAAACATATTCCCTATTCAACAAGCCCCACCTAGGTTCTTGGGATATTTAATGCCAGCTGAATCCGGTCTCTGGCTGCTGGATGCAAAGTAGGTTTGAGGACTCCAAGCACACGTGGTAGTTTTTTGGGGCCCACGTGGGGGTTGGCAGAGCGGACTTGCCAGATGAATGGGGGTCTGGGGCAGGGAGTTTCCCAGCATTTGGGCGTGCCAGGCTGCTAAGAGACTGTAGGGCCCTCGGGCAGTCTTTCATTGCTTTTGTTCAGACATTCCTCTAGGTCTATAGCCCTGGTGTACAAGTTGCTGTACAGCGGTCACTTGTGGTTGCTGTGAGGCTGAACACTGTGACACTGATGTGTCAAATGCGTTAATGGCTGGTTACCCAATGTGGACAGAGAGTGGGGTGGAGCTCCCCAATTAAAACAAGCTTGGAAGGAGGAGTGGCATCCACTTCCCTAACAGCTTGCCTCCGGAAACCCTATGAACCTGGAAGGGGATGAAAGGCACCCAAGCGTTGAGGACACTCCTTCATAGGGTCACTATGAATCACCTTGGACTGAAAGACACTAAACAACAACAACATCAAAACCAAAACCATTCACATGCTAATCCCTAGAATCTGTAAATGTTACTTTATTGGGGGGCGGGGGAGGGGAAGGGTCTTAGTGTAGATCTGGTTAAGCTCAGAACTTTGAGATGAGAAGATTATGCTGGTGGGCCCTGAATGTCATCATGTATCCTTAAAAGAGAGAGGTAGAGGGAAATTCTTTTACTCCTCTCTTTTATACACACGAAAGTAAAGGGTGAGGTGAAGAAAGAGGTAGCGATTGGAGTGACACAGCCATAAACCAAGGAATGCTTGACGCCATGAAACAACAATCACATTGTCCTCTAGAGCCTCTGGAGGGAATGCAGCCTTGCTGCCACCTTGATTTTACTTCAAGGATAATGATCTCTAACTCTTGGACTTCCAAACTATGAGAGAAAAAATTTTTTGTGTTTAAAGTCATTGCATTTATGGTAATCTGTTACAACAGCTACAGAAAACTAATAGAAACTTTGGTGCTGGAAAATATCTAGATTACACTAAACTGTTAGAATGCTCCTTAGATGGAAAGATAGCATAACTTAATCTATTTTGGACATGTACTTATGAATGACCAGTCCCTGGAGAAGGACACATCACATTTGGTAAAGCAGAGCATTAGCAAAACCATGAACACCTATAATAAGATAGACTGACACAGGAGCTACAACAATGGACTCAACCACAGTAATTATGGTGACAATGGCATAGAGATGAGCAGTGTTTCATTCTATATCATTGTACATATGGTTGCTATAAGTTAGAACTGACTTGGCATGCTTAACAACACTACCACCATGAACAGCCAACTGGTAAAATGCAGATGTTTAAAAGTCTGTCAGTAAGGAGAGCTCAGGAAGAATGACGAACACAGTAGAGAAAACTGGCATCATGTCAGAGAATATGTGCATCATCATAAGCAGGATGTTGGTAGCAATATGGATGCTAACAGTTATCTTTCTCAAGAGTCAGTAGGAAATGAAGAACACGTATGGGAGACTGTAAGAGAGATTTCTGCTACATAGT